AGCAGGATTTGAGCACTATCCCATTGATTCAGCACCTTCACAGAGTGCTGGATAGAGGTTCAGAGTCAGAGACCAGATTCCCACCCAGCCGTGCTGCCTGCCATCCTTTGGTTTTTTGTACCTGTGCTATGGGAATCACAGACTTCCACGTCACCTTGCCATTGCACACCTCACAAGCATCTGGCCTGGCAGGACAGGAGCAGTTTGCTGTGTTTTCCTTACCAGGAGGTGACAGCCTGCCACACGCCTGGGCTGCAGTGTCACACTGCATGCCCGTGGGGCTGTGGGATCAGAGCCTTCGGTACCTGGCTGGCCCCTGGTCCTGAGAGCTCTCACTTGCATTCCACCAGAAGCAGCAGCTCTTGCAGCACTTTGAACTTTCACTTTTGCTTTACTAAAATTAAAAAACAGGCACATAACCAAGCTGAGTTCCCAAAAGTTCAGGTGGGAAGCATTACTGAGAACAGAAGCCAGGTGGACTTCTTTATCAGAGGCTGATTGCTTTTTCAGAGTGTATTAGCATCTATTTTTTTCCCCAGCACTGGAATCCTTAGGTACTAGGGAGCCTAAGAAAAGCAGGAGCTCTTGTGCTGGAGGCTAAAGAACCAAGATAAAGCATAACAAAAAGAACTGAAAATGAAGACGTTTCTCACCTTTTTCTCAAAGCCACACTTCTATTTCTGTTTGAATCCATTTGTTATAAAAGATTAAAATTGTAAATATTGAGGAAAAATAATGTGAGCCATTATAAAATGATCTGCTTTCATAACCTACTATGACATGACTAAACCCCCTTCATTTACTGATAGCCTTCTCTCAGGCTGATGCTACCTGTCTGTTCATCCTCACACATGACTGCACCTACCATTGGCCATTTATGACACATGCAAGGAAAGAAAGAGGGAGAAATAAAAAGGAAGAAAGAGAGAGAGAAAGAGAGAGAGAAAGAGAGAGAGAAAGAGAGAGAGAAAGGGAAGGAAGGGAAGGAAGGGAGAAAGAGAGGAGAGAAAGAGAGAGAGAAAGAGAGAGAGAAAGAGAGAGAGAAAGAGAGAGAGAAAGAGAGAGAGAAAGAGAGAGAGAAAGAGAGAGAGAAAGAGAGAAAGAGAGAAAGAGAGAAAGAGAGAGAGAGAGAGAGAGAGAGAGAGAGAGAAAGAAAGAAAGAAAGAAAGAAAGAAAGAAAGAAAGAAAGAAAGAAAGAAAGAAAGAAAGAAAGAAAGAAAGAAAGAAAGAAAGAAAGAAAGAAAGAAAGAAAGAAAGAAAGAAAGAAAGAAAGAAAGAAAGAAAGAAAGAAAGAAAGAAAGAGAGAAAGAAAGAGAGAAAGAGGGAAAGAGAGAGAGAAAGAGAGAGAGAAAGAGAGAGAGAAAGAGAGAGAGAAAGAGAGAGAGAAAGAGAGAAAGAGAGAAAGAGAGAAAGAGAGAAAGAGAGAAAGAGAGAAAGAGAGACAAAGAGGGGGGGTTGTGTGCAGCAAAAGGAAGACAGATGGGCCTATCAGTTATGTATATTGTGACCCACCTGCCAGTCACAGCCCCACGGGAATGTGGCATAATAAATACTGAAAAATGGAAAGTAGGAATTAAACTTAAAAAAAACTCAAGCCAACAACCAAACATATTGAACAAAGTAAATTGTCTGGAAGGGAGAAGTGTAATAAAGATTTTTTAGGAGCATATAAATCAAAATTTCAAAAGAAATTTGCAAAATGGGGTCTCAGCTCATGTGCAGGCAGTGGCAGGAGGGTGTAAATTGTGGATCTAGAAAGGATGATTGCCAGCACGCCTAGGTATGAGGGGGTTGATTCAATAAATATTCATGATGGCAGCATGTATGCTCTAAGCACACACCCTGCCCCAGCAAATCCATCTCAGCTGAACTTCACCCCCAGCCCTGGAGCCTCTGCATGCTCTTGCATCACCCTCAGCTGAGTCCCACTGGTTTTTGTGTTTGTGTGTGTGCATGTGTGTGAATGTGCAGATGTATGAGCACAGTCCCTGCAGACCAAACCTGACTTATTCCTCCTAGTCCTGTCTCATTACCTGTCCTCCCAGATGTCAGCAATAAACTCAGTTGTGAGATCTCCAGCTCATCATGACCATCCAAAACTATCTCACTGAGCAAAAATTCCTTCATACCAAGATCAGGAGTAATCCAAATCCATTTTGCTTTTGCTGAGTATGCGTTTCATTAAAAACTTTGCTTCCCTTCTCAAACAACATGAAGTCCAGAGTATCATCTCTTGCTTCTGTTAGGCATTTTCTTCACACCAGACCTGAAGGTGTTTCTCCAACTCCAAGTAAATCCCAGCCACTCTTATGACAACCACATGCTTCTTTGGACTCCAGAGTCCCCATGACAATTTGTTGTGGATATCTGGTTAATTCACAGAGAATCCCCAGCTTGCACACAGACCTGAGGAAAAACACATTTTCCCCATTGTGGGGGAATATTGTACATTTAGAGTCACCTGCTTTTGCCTACCTCTTTGTTGTAAATTGGTCCATGGAGGTGACTCTTCCCTGCAAAATTCTCTCACCTATGCAATAAGGACAGGTGTACTGTGGCAAAACCACTCTATTTTCCTTCTGCTTTTCTGCTCCCCTTTCCCATTTCTGAATTCATACTTATTCTCTTCTTTCTGTCCCCTTCCTGTCACTGAAGTCCTTCTCTATCTCCCCCTTTCACCTCCCATTCATTCATCCCCTGTCAGGAGGAAATGTAAATGAAGTCTAATATTAATTTAAAGGCCTCTTTGATGTAGGCTCTATCTAATCAGAAAATAAAACCAAAAACCCCAACCTAACAGTATCTGAATTAGTTTCTGCTCTGACCTTTTCACTGGTTTTAACAGCTTTTAACCTTAAGAGTTGTTTTTATATCACAGGCAGGGAGACAGGGCTGTGGTTATTTAACTTTTTTAACAATATGTGAACTGAGGTAATTACCTAAAGAAAATATTAGCAGAAAAGTTTTCTTATCTTTCTGAGTAAGGAGAAAACCAAAACCTTCTAAAGGATGAGAACTGTGTGGCTGGAGAATGCTTTTGCCATTATTGAGTATTCCCACCATGTGTGCAGCATGGAGGGACCATCTGGGGACTCACAGCATCCAATGCAGCTCAGGAACAGACAAAATAGAGATGTTCTCTCAGCGTGGTGCTCATCAGGGCAAATATCATCTGGCTAAACAGCAGTGGGCAAGCCCACCTCTGGTGATATCCTGCCCAAATTTCCTCCATGAGGTCTAAGTGCCAACATAGAAACAAATACCTACTCTTGCTTTCATGCTCATGCAACATCTCTTCCCTCACATTCCTTGCTATTTTTTTCTTCTGTCTTGTTACTTTTGGCCTCAGATATTACCAATATATAAATCTAAATTTCTGAAGGTTTTCAACAATTGCCCACAAAGCCTTGATCCAAACTAAGTAGAATGAAAGCAGGTGGGTCAAATATATCATTGAACTACAAGGGTATGCCCAGATGTGAAGATGGCACCCACTTCCAACAACACACTGAGGTTCTGACTTTGCTATGTGGCTCGAATAATTAGATTGGAAAATTGCCTCGTTTTGTGGGGACAGTCCCTCTACAGACCTCCACCATTAAACAACAGGACCTAAATAACAACTGTTTTATATTAGTGATGCTGTTTAATAAAAATGAAATCTGGTACTCAAATACATGTGCTTGCTATCACAAGCACATAAGATGACCACGGAAAGCATTTTCCCCTGCAAAAAAACAGCTCAAAGATCATGGAAATCAGTGGCCTTGATGAGGATTGACAGAGCCAGATATGGAAATTGGAGAATTTTACTGGGAAGTGGTTGCAGGAGCATGAATATAAAGGATATACAAATCTCTACAGGCTGTAAACACTGAGAGTAAAATTATAGATGGGCTACTTGAGTGACATGTTTTCTAATAACTTAGAAACAGACTCTTAGTGAGTACGAGTTGAAAGCACTGACACTGTGGAATAGCTTCTCAAATTAATTAAAAGAAGAAAACACATTAAGTTAAAGCATGGGAACAGCTCCTCTTTTGTGACGGGTGAGTTAAACAGGCTGATGTTTTTCCTGTACAAAGTGATGAATCTTTGGGGATCAAAGTTGTATGGGTTACAGTTGTATCTTTTCAAAATATGTAGATCAATTAATTCATTCTGTAATATTCTTTGAAAATAAAGAGTTGCAAATATGCTGTTGCTTGTCATCAACTTCTGGTTCTCCCAGTTTCATGGGGTTCATGAATTATCATTTCTCTTTGCTTGATCTTTTTTACATAATCAGACGTTGCAACAGGAAGTGAGATCTCATTGTCCCTCATCAGTCGGCAGAAGACAGTGAGTGTTCCCATCCACACCCTGCCTCCCAGCAGGACTTTCTTGATCAGTGCATGTCAGTGTGCCTCTGATGAGACAGGCAGATTATTGCATCTAGGGAAAAGGTGGCCCATAAAAAATACTCTCCAGTGCTCCACAAGCCAATGGTTTCCCTATTGAAGCAGAGTGATTTACAGGTGATGTGTGCAGTCTGGAAGATTAATCTAAGTATCAGCTTGACAGTTTTCACACTGAATAAGAATAAAATTGATGGATGAAAAAATATAAAAATATGTGCTGCATGTTTAATATATTTTCAATCTTTCCAAAAGTATATGTAGGAAATCTATATGATACCTCCTTGAAAGAAAAATGTGATTTGATCCTTGTCTATATTACTCGTACTGCAATGAGAATTCAGACTGGACATCATGGATGTGTAACTCAATTAATACTATCACTGGGACTGAAGGGGGTAATGCAGGAAGTGAAATCATATCCAATTTCACATCTCTATGATTCTACAATTAAATCCCAAGTGTTATCCTCCAAAGACCCTTAAAATACGAACAGGAAAGAACATTTACAGTGTTAATAAAGCAGTAGGCTAATACAGCAAACCCAGTGACACCAAGGGCTGGAGATGAAAAAGTGCAAAACAGTACATTTTGGGACATAAGTCACCCTTCTACATCAGTGCTTTATTCTTGAGAAATGAGGAAAAAAAGAAAGACTACAGATTTGATTGTGTCTGCACTTCATGCACTGCCCCAGTTTCACAGAGCAGCACTTCCTTTTGCAGGTCCTTAGCCAGCCATGGCTGTGGATCAAAAAGCATGGACTAACACCCAGACTATCCTGTCTGTGTGCCCATCCACTCTTGGTTTGCCTGTGTCTTCAGCCCAGGGACTGCCTGTAAATCACACAATGAAGGGTATTAAGATGTGAGCTGAGGCATGTCTGAAATGTGCCTTTTGGAGCACAGACTGTTCTGCAGGTACATGCCCAGCAGCAGAGCTTCATGTTCCTCAGGCCTCAGATCATCCACAATCATGACTTTACAGCCTGTAGAGGCTGTTAGCTAGGTGGGAAGCAGGGCAAGAGGAGTGGGAGCAGCCCATGTTCACAATCACTTCTGAATCCACCACAGTTTCCTCATAGTACAGATACACTCCCCATAAACCACAAGAAAATGATCTGCTGCTCAAAAATAGACTTGGGATCTTTTTGTAGGCCATAGGTTGCTTTTTGGCTCATTGTGTTTTGTTCTTTTGTTTTCTGCAAGGCTAATTACTGATTTGTAACTGTAAGAAAACAGCTTACACGAGGCACAATTCTGCAGGAACTGAGGGCAAAGCAGATTACATTGTCTATTGCAAAGACATTATTAGCAGTGACTCATAAAACAGAAGTATTCGGAAAGACTCCCACATGTTATTTAATTGTTTGTACAATTTCTGCAAAGGTAATGATGACAGAAAAGATACACTTTCTCAGAAAGACAATCAACATTGTATGAAAGCTAATAATTTTTCCATTAAAAAACTGGAAAACTGAAAAATATTTTGAAAAATATTTTTAGGTGTAACTTACTACATTTTTACAATTTGCAAAGTACTCAAGAGTGTTTGAACAGGTAACTTTTAACTTTATTCTTCTTCTCTCCCTGTCTCCCTTTCTCTTTTCTTTTCCTTCTCTCCCCTCTATTTTATTGTTTATGGAATAACAGACAAAGCAAGAGTTAAATGTGTTAAGTATTTATCAACTGAGGGAAACACTGGACACTTCATTTAAAAAGGCAATCAAACCCTTTTTTCTTCAGTATAATTTCTGCCATCTTTTCAGAATGATTTTGCAACTTTCTTCACATGCAACAAGATTAAACTATTTTCCTTGACTCAAAACCTCTATGAGTTTGCAATCCAGCCTTCACCCCAGTTCCTTGAAGGAGAAACCAGACACTACGCTGTAGAGAAAGATCAACAAGAATGAGAGATCTCTTCAGAAGCATTTCAACTGCCTTAGAGCAGAACTAAGATGGGCTTGCTTACCTCACTTAAAGAACAGCCTTACCTTCCTTCATCTGTCAGTGATGTTAACTTTAATCCCTGTTTGTTTTATTCTTTCATTACCTCTTCAATTGTTTTTCCTAGTGCAATCCCTGGCATGTGGGATAGTGACCCTAACTGATAAATTACTGTACCTTCTTCCTTCGTCGTAATGTTTGTAAGTGAACTAATCAAAACAACAGGGACAGAAGTTTTTACATTCTTGAATAACTTTTTGCTCCTTCTGTGTCTGTTTCCTTTGTTTTAATAGCCCTTCCCTTTTTCTCCCATGCAATTTACTTAGCTGCCCTTTGCCATTGATTTATGAATCCTTTTGGTAGCTGGGTCATGAAAATTTGTAACGTCTTATTTGCTCATACAGATTCAAGTACATCCTGTGTAATTAAAAGAATCCTGTCAAGTTCATATGTGAGGCTTATTATTATGTCTGTCCTAAAAGACTGAAGTGCAAAATCAAAAGAAAGCATTTTTTTCCCCCTCATTTTCCCAGCCTGCTTATTCTGTGCATTCACAATTGTCTCAGCTTTATGGCATTCTTGGCATCAAGAGTCCTTTCCCTAGGTTCACCAAAAAGAGTTTGAAATGAAATGGCAGCAGCAGAGCTAAACCAGAAAGAAAACAGGCCATGGGCAGCACACTGCATGTATAAAGAAATGCACAGGAAAAGAAAACCTGCACCAGTATGGTCAAGGTTTCTGGAAAAACAGGGTACTGCTATTCTGCAAATAAACAGATTTGAAAGGAAAAAGTGTTGGACAACTGGTTGCTTCAAAATTCACTGCAACCTAGTCGGCACACTTCTCTTACTGAATACTACAATAGCTCTCAGCACCATCAATATTATACATGCAAGTAAGCAGTGGAATCACTGGGGTAAATGGTCTGTGAGAGGTTTCATATTCCCCAAGTCCCCAGCACCTGGAAAAGGTAAGCCATTAAATAGCAGGCACACAGCCATAACAGGCCTCCTTTTCTTGGTTTTGTGAAGCAAGATCAGAGTGATGTGAGCTTCAGTTGTCTTTTCTCCTACCCCACTCAACAAAGCTCCCTCAGTTCACAGCTTATAGAATATGACAGAAGTATGCCTTAAGTCTCTAGCTGAAGGATTAAAGCTTTACAAACCTCTTAAAATCAGCCAGACAGCTCTAGCACTCATTAAAGCTTTTACCTCATTTCAAGCCTGGGTGCCCCCCAAAACTGGACTAACGAAAATATGCATAAAGGAAATCTCCTCATCTCACTGCAATAGAGGGAAGGTCTGTTCTGACTGAAGAAATTACTAGCACTACCCTGAAAAGTACATGAGAAACGTAATGGGACATTTTCAGCAACTCACACGAGGAAGGTACTGAGGTGATTGCTATGTCCTGTACTGCACACTGGGGAAATTACAGAAAAGGCTCTGAGCTTGTAAAACTGAGCCAGTTTCCTAATAAGAAAACAGCACTTCAACTGCATCTAGCACCATACCCAGGCACCTACAGACTGAATGCACCACACCTCCTTTAAACACTTCCTCCCTGCAGACCTCTCCCAGCTTGATGCAAATTACTGAATATTTATATTTAAAATATCTCTTAACAACCTTTATTGGCTTGATTTGTGTGCCACCACCTACTGACTTACCACAGGCAGAGTGATGTGTCCATAATGTTTGGCATGGTGGCCCTGGCAGACCTGTGAGGCTTGGCACATGCTATGGAGCTGCCACAGGTCCTCTTTCTTTCCCTGGAAATCAAAGCATCCCCACATGTAATAACAGATGAGGGCACAGCACTTCAGATGTGCTTGTCCCTTAGCTCCTCCCCTGGCTTTACTGAGCTTGAGCTGACAATGGAAAATTGCCAAATTCATCTGCCCTTGTGCCAAATAAATCCTTGGAGTGTAGGGAGATTTCCCCTGGACTTTGTGTTTCTCCTGTTTTAGTGCTGGTCATGGATACATGCTCATACCACCAACACCACACCAGCACTCTGACATTTGTGGGACGCTGCCTGCTTTTCACCACCATTCATTTGTGTTATGTTCTGTCATATTGTGCTTCTGCAGCAGTCCTGTTGTTACCTGATGTCACCCACAGCCAACAGAAGGTGGGAATGTTGCCATGGGTCCTCTCCTTAGGCTCGTAACTAGCAGTTTCCATGGCCAGGGATGCTCCTTAGGATTTCTTCCTGTAGCAAAGAAAGTTGGTGGTTCAGCCTATTGTTTTCTTATCTGCCTCCACTGCTGTTAATCTTCCCTTTGCTGGTCTACAGCAAATCCTCCTTGTATCAGGCAAGTGCTTTGGCCCATGGAATCTTGCTGTGCTGAGCCTATTTCAGGGTCACCCAGACAATTTGCTTTATAAAAACTAGCCATCTTCCATCACCATAAAAGCATCTGACTCAAAGTTAACTTTGGCAAAACATGTTTAAAACTACACATAGTCAGTTCTGTGGCGGGAGAGAATGTTCAGAAATTTCCATTATAACAAATGAACTCTAATGACAGGGTTTTCTGGCATTGAAACAGGCTTCCAAGAGAGGTGGTTGAGTCACCATCCCTGGAGGCATTAAAAAGCCATGCAGATATGACACTTGGGGATGTGGTCTAGTGGTGGACTTGGAAGTGCTGGATTAACAGCTGGACTCAAAAGATCTTAGAGGTCTTTTCCAACCTGAACAATTCTATGATTCCATGTTGGCATCCTTAAAAAAGATAAAAAATGAAGAACAGTTTTTAGCTTTTAACAGAGCTGGAGAAGCATCCCAGGGAGCCTTGCACCACTCCAGCTACACTGTCAGCCAGGCATTTACTCCCTATGTTCAAACACAGGCCTAGCTTACTGGAAATGTAGCTCTGTCTTCAGAGGGGAAAAAAACAGTCTGACTCTTAAGGTCAGCTGACTGGGGACAAATTTACTGTCCAGTCCACTGTCAAAGTACTGCATCTTGTACACAATACTAATGTCCTTCATGGTAGCAAGATTGATTTAAAAACATGTAAGAAATGCCCCACTTTTGATTTTATTCATTTAAAAGACTCAACATTTTTTTCTTATCAATCAACCAGTTTACATTTAAGACTGAAAATATCACTTTACATTTAGCCCTAAATATAATATATGCAAACAATCAATTTTAATTAAAATAGTCCTTAAACAAGTGCATGCTGCTGTTTTAAAGTCAGGTGGGTGAAATTAAGGAAGTCACTGTCTGAGCACCAAAATCCAGCTGTTGTTGAAGCATTAAACCATCTTTTGGCAGGACTAGCCTTTTCTGCATGTGCCAAGAGGAGAATTCCTTCATTTCAGCTTCCTTCAATACTAATTCCAAATAACTGGCTCATGCAAACTTGAGAAATATTGGCTAAACATGGGAAAACCTTTTTTCCCTCTTGAAGAATATAAATAATTGGTAGAAGAGCATGAACTGTCAATTCTAAAATCTTAAAGGCCAGGTATAAGCCTAAATAATAAGTTCATAATTTTGAGATGCAAGACTTGCTGGCTAAGTTAATGTTTTTCCTCCTGTGAAATATTTCAGTGGTTTTGACACAGTATCTCATTGGTCATCTTGACATTCACAGCCTGGTAGGAATCACACTGACCCCTGAGACAGTTTTCATCTTTTCCATTAGTGTTTCCATCACCTTTGCTATGTAGAGACACGTCTGGGGTAAGAAGCACCTCTACCATGGTTTCTCTGACAAGCACATCCCACATGACACTGCCCTTGCTGCTCGGGAAGGTTTTAACTTACACCTCCAGAGTTTTCGGGGGAGACCTCGGGATTCAGCACAATAACTCCTGACATCACAGTCCCTGAATGGTCTGGGCTGTGACACTTGGCTCTCTCCTGGCTCATGTGTGTCCTCCACATGGTCACCATGGCCAGAGCCAGCAGCTGCTGGCCAAAGCCAGGGTGCACGTGCAGGACTTGCATGAATGAAGCTCAGAGGTCTCCAGGACTCTCAGTAGAGACAGCATCCAAAGGAACCAATTACAGAGTGATCTGTGGAACAAGTTCAATTAGATAGTGCAAGTGGAGAAGCCCCCCTGGAGTCAACACATAACCAGAATAACAATATAGCCTGTAGCTTTATAGTATTTGAAGTGAGGCCAGAAATCTGATGTCAGAAATCTGACTTGGACTAGTTTTTGATACACCACATTTGAGGAGACAAAGGAAATTTTTTAAGTCCAAGTTTGTCCTAAAGGAGACCCTGTGGTTTTATTTTTCACAATCTTATTTCAGCTGAAAAGGAATGAAAATACATTTACTAATGATTCTGAATGTTTTCCTGACGGTAAGAACTTCAGAATTTTCAGGGGGCTGTTTCAAGGAAAACCTGAAGGCAGTTATTAACAGTATTGTCCATAAAAAATTACAAATTTAACAGAACATATAATAACAACAGCAGTCATAAAACTCTGGCACCTCACTCTTAAATTCTCTTAAAACTTCCAAGATTTGCTTTTGTAGTAGACCAATCATACTAGGAGACCAAATTAAAAAAAACCCAAACAAAACAAATATTTGTAGGTTGTTGCAAGTATTTATTGACACAGTCAAAATAGAAAACTAATTCAAGCTGTGAACTAATTATCCTCAGCATCACTGGCATCTCTTTTTGACTTCATATTTATGTTATTACCATCATTATTATTATTATCATTATCATTATTAGCCCGTCTCCTCTGAACTCTTCCAGACTGAAACTGACTTCTAAGGAGCACCTTTCTATCACCAAGTGAATCCCCAAGAAAAGAACAGCACTTGCTCTTGTAAATCTCAGTATCATCAGCTCTTGATATCTCAGTCCAAGCTTTATTTAAAGCACTTTATTTAAAGACTCAGTTCAAGAAATCAATGACTTGTATAGAAATTTGAATTTTAATTCAAAGAAAAGAAGCACTCAGGATGGAATGCAAAAGCTGGCAATCAAAACAAAAACAATGGCTTGTATTTCACAAGGCAAATAAAAATGTCCATGAATGGTTACTTTTAAAAATCATATTATGTTTAAGTTGGTCTCTTGATTTTAGCATTCTTGATAGGTGATATCTGTAAGGACATTTTTCCTGGAAGCTGTTGGTTACCATCTTCCAGAACCTCTGTGTCTGCTAAAAAAAGGGTTGCTATGAATAGTGTACTCACCTATTCCTGTATCTGTAAAATTTTTATCAATGTCCTACAGTGTTTAGTAAGCAAAACCAGAAGTTAAACCCACCACATTTTGTCCCACAAGTCTTGACTTTATTATTCTTGGAACCAGCATTGCAAACCTCCTATTGTAGGTGCTGCAGCCATGAGGTATCTTTGGAGTAATTTACAGGGTTTTTTTGTCTATCTTGTGCATAATTTACCACGTAAATCTGAAAGCTGCTTAGAGCTAGATAACAACAAATTATTTTCTGCCACTTTCCAACAACATATTGTGCACGTTCTGGACAGAGCTGAGTTCACTGGACAAGAAAAACTGTTGTGCCTTCCTACCAATATTTCTTGTTTCAGTTTGTGTCCTTGGAATAGGTACCAGCCAAACCAGAACTAATGTGGTGATTTCAGGAACCTCTACCACTGTATGTTTAATTTCCAGCTGAAAGTTCTGCAATTCCGTTTTTATTACAATAGAAAATCTCCAGCACTTATGTACATTTTTTTGTTGTTGTTATTACTGAATCACTCAAGTTTGTCCTTGAAAATACCATTTTCACCACTGAAGGGAACAACATCAAAGCAGTGGTATTGTTACTAGGACTCTAAAAAGATCAGTTCACACTTTTGGTCCAGTGTTGCCTTGGCAGATCTATTAAGGCGCCAGCTGGCAACACGTCACTTTTCTGAAGTCTTTTCTGATATTTAGTGCTCTTGGAACTGATGTTTCTCCTCAGCAAAAGTCAGTGAAGCTTTCAGCTCATGTAAACTAACAGCACCATTGTCACATCTGACCACAGATACATCTGAAAATCTGTCTTTCATCTGAAGTTCCTCATAAGAAATCCACTCTGTATATCATTACCTACTTTATACAGTATTGTTCATAGCATTAATGAAAGGTACCAAAGCAATACCAAAAACCATCCTGTTACCACATGATGAGTCACCTGTAACCTTTTAATGTAGTCAGTTTATCTTCCTATCTCAACAGTCTAAATTAGCTGCTTTTTAATTATAAGTAAATCAAGGACTCATTGTAAACTTTCCAGCCTTTTTTGTCACTTTTTTCCTGGCAGAAGGAAAGGATGTGGAGATCAGCCTGCCATGACAACAAATCCATCTTCTAGGCTAAGTAAATATCTTCCCCTTGGGCTGGCAAGCACAGACCCACCTTCTGAGCAGGTCTGCTTAGGCCCTGCCCTCCCAGGCTCCAAGTCTCCCTGCTCCAAAGCTGTGTAAATCAGGGGGCTTGGGGTACCACGAATGTGTGAATGCACACTCATGGCTATGGCCACCTAGACAAGCCCACAGTGCTCATACCACAGATTGCTCTAAAACCTCACCCAGCAAGCATGAAAAACAACAGTTTCATTTGCATAAGAAGTCATGTTTTCAACGACAATTTATAATTGCAACAGCTTTTATTAGTATGTCTTCATCACACATACTTCCATCAGGCATAGCATGGTTTGTGGAAGGTTTGGCACCTTTTTCTTGAAAGAACATGACTGAAATTGATTTTAAGCTACCTTTTAGCATAATACACAAGAACAACCATTACAGTAATTTCAAATTTATTTTTTCCTTTGCACATAGAATCCAAAATGGTCTTTTCTCCTTCTACCAAGGGGATTTCTTCATGAAACTTAGAATTAACTTGGAAAGATTCATGAACCCATAAGACAATGTAATTATAAAAGGAAATACATGAATATAAAATTAATCAAAAAACCCACCCTTTGGACCAATATTTAACATGGATCTTGAAGAGATGGAGAATAAAGAATTTAGGCTACCACATGAAAGAAAAACATTTGGAAAAATGCTAGCACAGGCTCTCAAGGGATAATACACACCTTGTTCTTGGTCCAAAAACTGTAAGAAATGCACTTGTCATTTTGTCATCATATTTTAACAGAAAGGTCAAAGGAAGAATTTATGGGAATAGCAAAGTCATTAATGCATGTGATAGAGAAGAAGTGATCAATCAAACCACAAACAATTGCAAACTCCTCAACTCTGTTTTCTTT